TAAGTAGGTAGGTAGGTAGGTAAGTAAGTAAGTAAGTAAGTAAGTGAGTAAGTGAGTGAGTGAGTGAGTGAGTAAGTGAGTAAGTAAGTAAGTAAGTAAGTAAGTAAGTAAGTAAGTAAGTAAGTAAGTATGTAGGTATGCAGGCAGGTAAGTAAGTAAGTAAGTAAGTAAGTAAGTAAGTAAGTAAGTAAGTAAGTAAGTAGGTAGGTAGGTAGGTAAGTAAGTAAGTAAGTAAGTAAGTAAGTGAGTAAGTGAGTGAGTGAGTGAGTGAGTAAGTGAGTAAGTAAGTAAGTAAGTAAGTAAGTAAGGAAGTAAGGAAGTAAGGAGGTAAGTAAGTAAGTAAGTAAGTAAGTAAGTAAGTAGGTAGGTAGGTAGGTAGGTAGGTAGGTAGGTAAGTAAGTAAGTAAGTAAGTAAGTAAGCAAGTAAGCAAGTAAAGCAAGTAAGCAAGTAAGCAAGCAAGGAAGTAAGTAAGTAAGCAAGTAAGATTCAGTTACTACGCAAGTTTTGCAAACCTTCGTGGAAATAACAGCGACGATAATCAATGCACAACGAGTGCTCTAGTTTCAGTTACGTTCCCTATCACGGTGCGGATACGTGGGGTTGATCAGACCTCATATCTTGGCATCTTGACTGGAGCTTCGCTGCACCAGGCCAATCACATGCCCCTGGTGCCCCTGCTGCTGAAATTGACTTGCAAGCACTGACAATTGCTCATGGGCAAAAAACAACGACTGGACAGCTGAAAAAGTCCCAGTGCTAACATTGGAGAGCGCACTCCCTGGGTCCATGAGGACCACTCACACACACAAACCTACATGCATGCCTAATGTCTCCGCGCTGTGATCATCAAGGGCGGGACACTATCCTGCACCGTTTTGGGAAGCGCAGCGGTTCCGATATTGCAATGAGGATGCAACAACTGCAACTTGGTGCGATCTCACCAAGGAGATTCACTGCACGTGATATCAATTTGCTCCCCTGCACTCGCTCCTAGCAACAACCTGTCTTGGCTGCCTTGCGGGGACACTGTTGCAAGGCAGCTCTATATATCGGCAGCTCCATGGTGGTCAGGTGTTTTACGTAGTTTTCCGACCTGTGAAGCCAGGGTGACCACCTGTCACAACAGCCTCGCTACGCGAAGACCTCTGTGCGGCGTCCGAAAGAAAGACGTATGCATGCATGCATACACATGTTTCATGGACGCATTCGTATAACCGCGAACCTACATATTTTGCTTCGTGCACACAGGTATATGATGAGCAATTTCTTGCCACATAAATTTTCATATGTTCACCTGTTGATACAGATTACTCTCCGTTTTCGTCGCGATTCCTCTTACCATGTCTCAAGTTGATGAAAAAAAACATCCTTACAGGTAGTGCTCTCTATGATCATCCTATCCGTGCCTTCTGGTGTGCTACTCTATTCTTGTGGGGTACTAGCTGATGGCCACTATCATTGCCCCAGGCATGCTCAATAACAAGTGTAGTTTGCTTTCTTTTTCATGTCTTGCGGTATGCAAGTATGCAGTACTTCATGTACGCTATGTACTCAGAAAACTGGTCTTTGCAAACTCCTCGGCTCTTCTTCAGCCCTGGACTCTGATGTTGACGATGCGGTCACCGTCGAAGGCACAGCCCTCGAAGGTGAAAAGTGGCTCCACCTGTGCGGATGAGCGTGCTGCTTGCTGGTAGTGTTGCGCTATGACTATGACTATGAGCTTCTTCAAGATTTTCATTGCTGCTTCTACTTTGGGCGGATGTGTGCACTTGCATTATTTTGGTTCTTCCGAACACCAGGAATCGGGATTACCAAACTCGTCGGCGAGGACAGAGAAAGTGAAGCCAGAAGCTGCTAGTGACTGCTAGTGCTCGTGCCATGCCTTTAACTGCTTGTCATTCCTTTTCTCAGCACGGCCACCACCGTACCGCAGGCATTCAAGGCCGATACGGTATCTCCGCTTGTCGAGTCCCAGGCCGTGCGCCCCTTGGCACCCAGCGAAGTTGAGTGGGCCTGCGCCCCTGCGGCAGAGTTGGCTCTCCAAGACGGATTCAGGGACAGACGACGTTGTGCTACTACTCGAATTGTTGCCGCTACTACTACTACTACTACTGCTGCTGCTGCTGCTGCTGCTGCTGCTGCTGCTACTGCTACTGCTACTACTACTAATTACTACTACTACTACTACTACTACTACTACTACTGCCACACTACCATTACTGCTACTGCTACTACTGCGACTGTAACCGCAACTGCGACTTCCGCTACTGCTGCTACTGCTGCTACTGCTGCTACTGCTACTACTACTACCACTACTACTGCTACCACTACCACTCTAACTACAACTGCCACGGCAACTACCACTACCACCCACTAACATCACTAGTAGCACTACTACCACTACTATCACGGTTGACACTACTACCACTACTATCACCACTACCTCTACCACCGCTACCACTACTAGCACTAGAATCACCACCGATAGCGATAATGGTAATGATAACTAACAACCAACTGTATTGTCGTGGGAACAATGAGAAAGGGAGACGAACAACAGCGACGACAACAACGGCGACGACGACGCCGTAGAGGGTGTGATTCTTGCTTGAATTTATGTTTGCAGAAATTTGCAAAGGCAAAACACTCGGGTGCTGTGAGGCAGTTGCATCGGCGGCATGCTGTTAACACGTTGGTTGTGCTGCTTGTTTCATGTATGTGGGGAAGTATCGCACATGCCGTGATTTGTCGGCTCTACTTTGCTTGACTTACACGTGCTTTCTCACAGTTGTTCTGCAGTGCACCGAAAACCTGGACCCCTAAAGCCGTACAGCCCCAGACACAGACTCTAACCTCAATCCCCGCAACCCTGATTCCCAAAGCCTCAAACCCCAAGAACCAAACCCAAGACCCTAAACCTAAACACCGAAGCCCTGAAACCCCAAAGCCCTAAACTCTAAAACTCTGAAACCCTCAGAAAGCAGCACCCTAACCCTAAACCGTCAAGGCCCAAGACTCTGAAAGGCTGGGACACTGCAAGCCCCAAAACCCTAAAATCTTAAAGGCACCCTAACCCAAGATGCTCATCCCAAACACTCCATCACAAGACTCAAAATTCTTGAGACTCCAGAACCCAGAGTCGAGGTTTCTTCTCTTCTTGGTGAAACAAAATGGCGCACAGTAAACCAGAAATCTGCACACAGAGACCAGGACAGACACAGACAGTCCGCAAAGGCTTTGTCCAACCTGCAACAAAAGCTCGAGGTTTGAAACTTCACAGGCCTGAAATCAACACACCCTCCCACGGCTGTGCACACAACAGCTGCCAACGACAACGACAACCACAACCGCAACCACCGTGACAACAACAAGGAAGATGGAATAAGGAGCAGAAGCATCTAGCACCATGCTACATCTGCAGCGCAACCACGCTGGTCGCCAGATTTTGAATGCGGGCGTCGATGTGCATTTTGCGTCAGAGCTGACGAGAAACAGACGATCCTGTCCTGGCTTCGCTGTGCCATCACCAGATGTGTGGCCCAATGTACCGGCCGTAGTATCAGCACAATACAATCAATACAAATGCCAATGCAAATCCGCGGGTGAGCTTAAGCTGCTTCTTCCGTGCTGTCGAGTTGGTAACGCATCTGTCCCACCTGGTTCACGTGGCTGAGGCACAAGACTAGATCGGCACAGCTCATTTCTTCCGCTTCTTGCTCTTCTTCTTGTCCTGCAGAGCACTCGACACTCTGTCTCCAAAGCTCCAGCATTTGGCCTTCCAGGGACAGCCACGCATCACGGTGGCCCTGGCCTTCTTCTTGTCCTTCTTTTTCTTTTTGTCCTTCTTGTCCTGACGAGAAGACTTGACAAAGACAACCCTCCGCAGTCAGGCAGCACCCACACTTAAAACCCATTGCAAACTCTGCCGTTGATCCTTTTTGGAAGACTTTTTCCGCTTCCTTTTCTTGTGGCTCGAGCTCGAGCTTGACTCAGACCTTGACCCAACAAAGAGCCACACAAAGCTAGGCCGTCGCCTGTGCTGGAGAGTGCTTTCTGCGCAGATATTGTCCTCTCTTCTGGATGCTTACCCTCTTCGCCTATTTTTTGTGTCTGTGCTTGCCGTGTAAGTCGTCAGCTCACTTCGGCATCATAAGTTCTACCTGGGTAACCCCAGTCATCACGTTTGATCCCTGTTGCACTTCCTTGCTTCCTTTGTTCCGTTCCTGCCTTCCTTCTCTCCCTCACTTCTGCTGCCTGCCTTCCGCTTCCGGTTCGCACAAGAACAAGAGATCTCCGCCCTTCGCCCTCTCGGCCAAGTGACTCGTCGGAGTCGTCCTTGGCACACAGGCACCGTTTACGCAGAGTCCAACTATCTGCTGGTGCTGAACCCCTTCGGCAAAACCATCCGGTCGGGACTGCAGTCGCGTCATATTCTCCCACATCCATGATTCTCATGGAGAGGCAGCCATGGACTTGCAGCAGCTGCACGAGTAAATGAAAATGTGTTCCTCCCGTGCAACTATACCTGTGAGTGTGGTGGTATTCGTACACTCCTACTGCAAATGCAAACAAGCATCGTCATCGGAATCGTCTGAGTCCGAGTCGTCGCTGTCACCAGACTGGCCATGTCGGATAGTCAGTACAAGACAAACGCAGAAATGAGTGCTGGTCAGACTTAGCAATCTCGATCCAACATGCAACATGCAGAGGACGTCCAAGATAAGCATGCTGAGTGGTTCCTCAGCCTACATTTGCCCACAACAACCATCGGTTACAGTCTCAGTGCCTTAACACTCATCGAGGTGTCGATTTATCTTAGCCTGCTTCGGTCTTGACTGAGACCCAGAGCTTCTAGGCACCCTCTTCCCGCCTCAGAGCTCGGGAGCTCGTTGCCTTGGCACGTTCTGGATTGGAACTCCGGGCTCGGGTTTCACACAAGGACAGCAGCTTTTTCTTAGGATGCTGCACCGAGTCGAGAAAGCTGCAGTTTCAAGGTTACAATGCCTGGGAATCTGGCTTTCGACGTCATCATCGTCCTCGTCGGGCTCAGCTACGAACTGCTCGTTCTTCTTGTCTTCCTGCAGGGAATTGCAAACGCACCAGATGACATAATATGAATATTTCTTTGCGGGACATTGCATGGCAATCTGGCAGGACTGCTGCCGAAAATGCACTCGCTGCGAACGGCCTTGCAATCTAAACGAAAGCCCAAAACCGAATCCGGGGCCGTCCACCCCAGCGAAGGAAGAAGATCCTTCTTCAGCGAGAACATGTTCCGGCATTGGAAGTACAAGTGGCCCACGGATCCACACCTTCAGAGTCTCGTCTCGGCAGTCTTTTATAGGTTGCAAGTTTGCGAAAGACATGCTTCAAGAAAGCGCCTCTTGCAAGCCCCAGGTGCAAGGGTAGAGGAGTGGCCTGGCACGATCTCAACTCGTGCTTGGCTGTTGTTGCGGCGATGCATGTTGGCTCGCGGCCAGAGAGGCCAAAGCACCCCTATACTAGGACACAGGAACAGAACAATGCAAAACGAGACCGACAAGGTCCAATGCAGCCGCACCGCCAGCTTACCTTGAGCTACTTGCGCAGTCGCACTGCCATGTGGACCGCAGTCGAGTAATCACCAATCACCCGCTTCAAGTTTCAGTATGGGACCACCTACCGTCCTTAGAGGCAACGCAACAGCAAACCAGTTTCAAACCTTCGTCAAAATTGCCATGGCCCTCAAAGCTCCTCAGCCTATGTCACCCGCGCACCCAAAACTGTTCAATCCTTACACGACCAGCCATGCTCCAGACGCAAACCTGGAAGAGCCCCGAAATCGGGAAAAGAACGAGTTGAAGGAGTTCCAGCCTGTGAGCTGCGCCAGCCTGAAGAGTCCCTTTGCAGCTTTGTTGATCTCCCCGCCCTGCCAGCTTCCGCATGGGGAGGATGGGAGGGAGGCACGCAGTGAGGCCCAGTCCCTGATGTCCATTTTCAAAACACAATCTATAAATGCATACCCAACCCTGTCAGCTCCGAGGCGAAATGCGTTTCCTCCTTCGTCGGCCCGAACAAAGAGGCCAAAAAAAGCCCTTATAAGCCTTGCTACGCTCTGCAGCGCCACACGCCTCGCTCACCTGGTTCTGCACCTCGTCCTCGCCGGCGTAGGGGTCGTAGCCCACAGTCTGCGGAGCCATCGAAGCCAGGTTTCTAGGAATGTCGGACTAATGCTCTCATCCACCCTTCGTAGCCGCCTTTTGCCAGACTTCCGTTGTCTTCAGCGAGTCTGACACGCTCAGGCCTTGGCTGGACGCTGGTGGGGTCTATGCTAGCAACAGCACTGGTTTCCGGGTTGGAGACCCACAGCGAATCATAAGAGTGTATGAGCTTGTCGCCCCCATGCTCTCAGGCACAAGTGCGGTACTCAGTTCTTGGGCACCTGCGGTTGTCTGCGGGCATGCCAATCCTTCCCGCCGTGGCCGGCATGGCGTTCACGGCTAAGGGGGTGTATAAAGATAACAATCTCTCTGGTGCTGTTCTGGGGCAGTCGGTACCCGGGCGGTCTGGGGCATTGCGGCTACAGACTTCCCGGATGTCCAGGAGAATCTGTTAAGTAACTTGCAGCAACCGAAAGGAAGCACTTCTTCGAGACCCGGCTGTTGCCGATGCAACTCTGAGTGAACTTGCTACTTCTGTCAAAATCAGAGCACCTGTGTCCTCAATGCATCGAGCCGAAACAGCATGGAGTGCCTGATGGACAGAAACGAACACCCCGTACTTCGAACCCGCACGGAAACTGAGATTTCCTGGCTTCTTTAACGTCCAGCTCTCCCGAGCCATTCAGAGCCAGAACTCAGACTATCAGCGTGGAAGGCTGTCACCGAACCCCTCATCTCCAGACACTACAAGAAGTGAACACAAACACGATTACAAAGCTCAGCAGAGTTACCACAGGCACACAGAAACAGAGGGAGCAGAGTGATCGGCCTACTGAACGGATGGGAGCTGGCGGCTCCAGCGAAGGTTCCTGCGCTGGGAGTTGGTTCCGTGCGGAAATACAACAGCAGATGGATGGCTACGGAAGAACACGTGAAAAGCCAAAAAAATGACCGAACGAAGGAGGTGGCTGAAGGTTGACCTGCTGGCCATTCGGGTGGTTGATTTGCCAGTTGGCAAGTTGATAACTCATCAACTAGGGAGCAGGTCAAAAGACTGACTAGACTAGATAGTGATCAGATGAGCTAGGTGCTAGCTACAGCTAGGCACCGTATGACATGTTATGACCATCACCACCGTTGATATCATCACCATGAGGATGCCGATTCTCACGATCACGCCCGACCACCAGCGGCAGCAGCAACAACAACAACAACAAGAGGAGCAGCAGCAGCCGCAGCAGCAGCAGCAGCAATGCATTCCACGTGTCGCTGATGGACTGGTCTGCTATGTGATACCTGCATGGAAAATATGTGTACATGCACGCTGCACACCTCTACATGTCCATGTACGTATCTATAGTGTGTATGTGTATGTGTATGTGTATATATATATATCTGTATATATATATGTATATATATATATGTATATGTATATGTATAAATATGTATGTATGTACGTACGTACATACCTAGCTAGGTAGGTAGGTAGGTAGGTAGGTATGTATGTATCTATGTACGTACGTATGTATGTATGTATGTATGTATGTATGTGTGTGTGTGTGCCTTTGTGTTTGTATGTACATATATATATATATACACACATACATGCATGCATGCAGGCA